GAATAGTGACAAATGATCAAACCAAACCATGCACATCACAAAGTATTGAATAAAGCAAGAAAGAAGACCGCATTGTTGAATACTACTCAGATGGACCAGAAGGGGCTGGTGATAGCATTGAAGAAGAAGATGACTTTGTCATCATCATTTGAAGCTCGAAGACTCAGCAAGCATGAAGGAATAAAACATGTTGACATTTAGGGGGGAATGTTGGAATTTAAATGTCATTTACGTTTTATTAGAATATGTTACTAATTAATATGTAATTAATAAAATGTGTCAAGTGACACATCATAGGTTGAAAGGCAGTTACATAACTGGTTTGGTAGTTAATTTTGAACCATCACAATGGTTCAAATGCACCATTTCATAATCTATATATATGTATTGGTTGTCAAACATTTGAAAGTGTGTATCTATACTTTAATAAAGATCATTTCCAGAATTCATCCTTGTAGACTTATTGCATCTTTCATTAATGTGTGTTTGTTGCTTCAAAACGATGGCAACCGAGAGTTTCGTCGATCAACAGTCGCCCGTCGATCAACAGTGAGAGTGTCGGCCAATCACCTTCATTGAGTTCGGGATGCCTGTGAACTTTACTGCTTCTAGATGATAAGGATCATTAGTTGAGTACCTATCTGCAAGTGGATTACAAATATCATCCCTTAACTTGCCCTATCTGCCCATTTGTTCTTCAACTTGTAACCAACAGTCCCTGAACCAAAACCATTCCTATCTCATCTTTGGGCTCTCCTCATCAACCCTGTTGTTCATCCTCCAACACCCACAAACCCACAGTGAAAGAAAAGTTTAATAACCTTGATAATAGTAATGGTCTTCTATGACAAACCACAATAAGGCCTTGGCAAAGACGAAGGATTGTGTGAGAATAGGAGTTAAGTTGAAAAGTGTAAGAAGGGATTTGGACTTCGATCACTTTTACTCTCAAAACAACCCATGAATTACGTTTTAGAAGGGAAATGATCTAGTGGTTCTCTTGAATTAGGATTGATCTAAGGGTGGAGATCCCTTACCCTTCTCATGATAACTCTCATTCTCATCGGAACCCAACCCATGACATATATCTACACTTAACTAATCCAATATTAATAAGCAAGCAAAGTAATGTTGCCTATAAACATTTTACATCCTTCACATAGTTGTTAATTAGGCTCTGAAGCTCATAAGGCTCAAGGTCTTGAGCTTTTTTTCTGTCGAGGCCAGGCATAATCACGAGGCTCACTAAGGCCATACGCCTTGGCCGAGGCGCCTTGTAGGCCTAGGCGTCTCATAAAGAGTTATTAAATACCAAGTCAAACCCCAATATTAAATAAGTTTTCTCCTCTTCTTATCTTCTAGACGTCTTAAAAAAGTGCAACTAAATATATGACTTAAGTCAAACCTTATACTAAATACCCAGCTCTTTTAGCTTCAAGCCTCTTTCTCTATAAATACCCTTCTCCTTTATGCCTCTATCGAAGTACTATTGATTGTTGCACTGTGTGTGTGTATCTATATGAATATTTTTTTATATAAGATGCGCCTCACAGTCCCGAGGCCTACGCCTGTGGCTCGCGTGTAGGTCCCAGGACCCCTTTGCGCCTAAGTGCACTTCGAGCCTTTAACAGCTTTGATCCTTCCCCCTCTGTTGTTATATGTGACCCATGCACAATGGCAGGCATATTCAAGGTGAATGGTAAATGCACTAGTACACCTGTTCTTTACAAACCATTTGCAATTTTGTGGTCAACCTTCAGTAATTTTGTGGTTAACCTTTGAATAAAATAAATGTTTAGCAATTTGACTCATTTGTAGCTGTTGTCTCTAATAACCCGAGTATGTTATCGGTGATGCTTGCAGATGGAACGTCTCGATTGAGGTTGTGCTGGAAGATCTGATGTGATAAAAAGACAAACTGCATACTTGTTGCAAATATGTCCTGCCCTTCTATATCCTTCTTTCTTGTTTCTTTTTGGGTTTTCTTGCACGTTTCATGTAAGTTCTTTGGAGCCGTTTACCGGATAAGCACTTACGGGTAAAAATCAACATTCTAACTTACCTTACCAAGTAAGATTTTAGTCCATTAAAATAGCATCTTATGCAAAAATTTATCTGGTAAGCGCTTAACGGGTAAAAGGCATTACTCTCACTTAGTAGGTAAGACTCTTGTTTCTTGTCATCACTCTTACAAGGTAAGAGTCTCAATTCTTTTTATGTTCATTTGATAAGGTAAAGTGATATAGTAAGCACTTACCCGATAAGCGTATAGTGAAAGACCCCTTAGTCAACCTGAAAGATCACTTGTTTGTCATCTTGTATTGGTATATGATATGTATTTGGTGGGAGTGATGTGATAGATAGCATGGACTTTCATTTGGTGGAGTTCCCTTACCATTTTTCAGGAAATATCTCTCTTTCTTTTTGGAGAGTGATCTATTCTTAACGGGGTTCAATATATTCTTATATGGTATCCGAACTCTAAGGACTCGATATTCTAAAATAATGTGTACTTGTATAGCCTCTTGACATTCTAGGATAATTTGTGCTTGTATTGCCTGCCTCTTTTAGAGGCCGTTTACTCAAATGCTTACCCGGTAAGCGCTTACCAATAGGAGTCAACACTATAATTTATTTTGATACGTAAGATTTTAGTACATCAAAGCATATCGAATGCAACAATTTACTGGGTAAGAGTCTTCATCCTCACTTACCGGGTAAGACTCTCCATCCTTCTCTTCGCTCTTACTCGGTAAGATTCTTGTCCCTTCTCATGTTCATCCGATGAGGAAATTTATACGTTAAACATTTACCAAGTAAGTGTTTAGTAAATGGCCCCTTAAAGTCCAATGTTAACTAGAATTGAATCCCTTCTTAATATATGTTGGAACTTCTTATTTCTTCTTAATGATTTTTATTTAGATAACCGAATATATTATTCTATTAATATATTCATCAATGTATAATACTGTATTCATTGATAATTCATGAACAATTTACATATTTTGATGAATTAATTAAGGAAATGGACTCAAATAGACATTTCATCCATTTAAATTGGTCTCTTAGTCATTCATTTCCCGAGTTTTATTCAAATGTAACTACGTCCACAGTATCCACATTCGTAATATTGCAGACCTGGCTAAAAGACAAAAAAACAAAAAAATTAAATTCCACTGGGATAGCAAGTGGCACCGTCACAATTGCGAACTTAGCAGTCGCATTGTGGACCTGGTTGTCGTAAGTGCAAACCTGGTTGTCGTAACTGCAGACCTGGGTGTCGCAATTGCTTACCTGGATTGAATCTGATAATTATTTTTCTGTCTTTTAACCAAGTCCATAATATTGTGGATGTGGATATTGTAGACGTAGTGACATTTAGGTAAACCCAAAAGAGAAATGGCTAGAAGACCAATTTGAATAGGTGGAATGGCTATTTAAGTCAATTTCCTAATTTATTAGTATATATTTATCAATGAATGCATAGTTTTTTAATTAGTCTTCGAGTTAAATGACCATTTCCTTCATTCAAATTGACTTTCTAATTATTTATCTCCCAAGTTAACTCAAATGTTACTACTTCCGCAATATCTAGGAATGCAATATTAAAAATCAAAAATTCAGCAGAACTATGCAATTACGACAGCTAGATATGCAATTGCGACGATTAGATCAGCAATTGCGACGGTAAACTAATCGAATTTGACATTTTTTTTTGTTTTTTTAGCTATTGCAGACCTGAGTATTGCAGATGTAGTGATATTTGGGTTAACCCATAAAAGAAATGATTAGAAGGTTAATTTAAACAAAAGAATTGATCATTTAAACTAATTTCTCTTTTTTAAGTCTCAAATTAATTTACTACATGAACCTTCCCGATTAACAAGATTGACCATGCGATGACAAGTGTAATGCTGTTGGCTGCCTGCCTGCACATTGATTGTGTTTGGTTATAGATTTCTTTATGAAGTTGTTTTGTTCATCCAAATGGTCCGTATTAGTAGTCATGCTTGAATCGTACTTTGATAGAAAATACTCTGAATTTATGAATTAAGGGATCGTTTACCAAACACTTACCCGATAAGTGTTTACGGGTAAAATTTAATACTATTATTTACTTACCGGGTAAGATTTTAGTCCACCAAAACAACATCATATACAACAATTTACCCGGTAAGCGCTTACCGTGGTAAGAAGACGTCGCCTTCACTTACCGTGGTAAGAAGACGTCGCCTTCACTTACCGGGTAAGACTCTTGGTCCTTGTCTCACTCTTACCGGGTAAGATTCTTGGTCTTTATCATATTCATGCGGGGAGGTATTGTTACTTGATAAACCCTTATCCGGGTAAGCATTTGGTAAACGGCCCCTAAGTCTATATTTTACCCTCAATAAACACAGTAAATCTAAAGCAAATAGGGTATAGGAGTGGAATATACAAAGACCCTTCCTTTATTCCCATAGGTTAGAGGGACTATTTCTATAAACACTTGTAGCTTGTAAAAAAAAATACTTTATAAGACTTTAAGTTTATAGGACAAAACCAAAAAGCACCTTATCTAAATGTGTTACAATAGGTTTATAGGAAGCTTTTAGACGTTTTAACAAGTTATGTAAAATGCTTTTAAAATAAAGTGTCATTAACTACTATATACGCCACTGTTTGAAAACGTGTTCTGTAAACAACAGTGTCCTATAAGAAGATGGGTTTACAAGACACTTCTCAGAAGTAAAACCTAAAATGCCGGCCAAGAGCAGTGCCCCCCGCCATAATTGACGATCTACTTACAAAAATTGTTGGCCGATTGGAACAAAATGAAGCTCATTTATACCGGCCAGTTGGAGATGCCCTTAGAACACCATAATTTACCTTTTCCGTTGCTGGTAACTTTGGAGACGTTCTGTAGAGTAGCGCAAACCCTTTTCTACAACTATCAAAGTTATACAAACAATGGCATAATACATGAATAACAATCAAAATAGGATAGCATGCTTAAAATTGTCTTCAAGCATACATGAAAATAGATTGACACAGGACTTTGAGGTCACAGATACCAAAAACAAGCTTCTAACAAACACATGGGAGGTCATTTATCATGAAAGTAGTTAAACCAGATCAAATGAAAATACACAACCACCAAATCAAACTTCTAACATGTTTAAAACTTCTGATTAACACCGAAAAAAACCCATTTCGGACTGGTGGGAAATTTAAAAATCTGCAAAAGAACGAAGAATTTGTAGCCAACGACAAAGATATAGTTTCGCCCACCCCAAAACAGGAAGAACGATGTATCAAAATCGTTCATAGATAAAGTAGATCACGTTGACCGCAGCATCAGTCATAACTAGCGTTCAAGAATCTCAGCAGCTGGTTCCGATTATTTTCTGCCTTCTTATCCTCCTTTGTCTTGTCCAGTTTTAACAAGATCTACCAATTGAATGACAAATAAAAGACGATGTGATGTGCATTATTCAAGTGTAGCTAACCATGTTAGCATGGTTCATAGACAGTATGACCATGTTTGGACCATTAAAATTAATGCATCAAGGACTCACCTTTTTGCCAGACACTGCACTGCGACGGACACCATCATCTTTGTCACGACCCAGAAACTGTTGAAGGTGGATGATTCAGATTGATAGAATACAAGTCATGCATTTGTGTGCTCATTTTTTAGTCTCTCTTTTGCTCTCTTTGTTGTTGATCAGGACTCATGTTCCAATCATAATTATCAAGGACGGTATAGAAACTTGTCATCCCCATGTTTGGGGTGACATTAGACTGAGACCATACACGACCTGAGTGGGACAAAAATGCATTCTGTCCCACCAAAAATAGGTGAAACAAAAATTGTGAGATGGGACAAGATGGGTAAATTACTAAAATACCAATGTCAAATTAAAACCCTTCCACGATTCATTCACCAGCCTACCTCACGCTCACTCGTCTACCAATTGCCCTCCCCCCCCCCGGAACAATAGATCAAAGATATCAAGTGGTTAGCTTGAATGGATCAGCCCATTCATTTGACGCTAACTCATTGGAGGTTGCAGGTTCAAACTTCAAAAAAAAAAAATTGAAGCTAAATGACGTACCTTAGAGAGTCGAACAGGGCTGCTGCTACCATCCTGCTGGTTCTATTAAGGCTCCGATTGCCAGGACAAAATCCAAGCCAGAACAACATCCATACATGCCAATCAAGCACGCATTCATCATGTCACAGACCCCAGCTCCAATTTCAAAGAGCCAATTCATGAAAAAGGCAGAAAGTATTATAAGCACCTTATATCCAATACAGACATACCATACAGATACGTTTAAAATAAGGCACAAGTAAGTAATTAATCTTGCAGCACTAAGACTTGCGCCCGTAGAAAAAGTCAATGAAGCAAAAACCCTGGTGACTAGGTTTACTTACATCACTAACATGATGAAGTATAAGCCAATTTAGCATACCACTAAAGCAAAACAGCAATAGTAAGTTCACAAACGAACAGAACACAGTTCCATCTACTATCTGTGGAAAGATTCAATATAACAGCACTGAAAAGAGCATACTGGATTGATGAGGTTGATGCCCTAATTAGACTGATCCTGTCATACTGGACCAGAACTTAGATACTTAATAGGCTCTCGCCTCTTCACAAGAATCAAAATAACTTGCTTTTCTTGCATGAACTGTTACTCACTTGACGATTTCATTGATATCCAGATAGCACTATACAACAAAAAAATAGAGAGGCCCTACCCCCAAAGAGAATACTATGGCACAGTTATCATATGTGGCCAACCACTTCAAAACTGGAAGACAGTATCATCTCTATATCTTTAATGCTGCCAGTAAATCTAGTTGAGTTATAAAGGCCTTGATCAATTGAACAGCCCAAATGCAGCTATCAAGGTAGGCTATGTAGCAAAAGCCAGATGCTGTTTCGCTGTTAAGAAAACTAAATATGACCACTTAATAGAAAACAATGAATTATGTGGTTTCTTTAAAAAGGTCAGCTTAATGATGGTAGATTCTAACTATACATCTCTGTTGGGGCAAATAAACAATAAATAACCAACTAATAGAACAAAGCAAAGATAAAAGCAGTTGGTTCAAAAAGTACATATGTTAGGAGCAATTTAGTTAGGAGCAATTTAGTTATGCAGCAAATATATGCAATAAAGATAAAGTGGCCTACCTCCTTAACTTTACGCTTATCACGTTTGTGATGATGCCTAGCCTTCCCCTTTTCTTTATCCTTCGGCTGAAACAAAAAAGGACATCAAACATAAGGATACGATGATTGACAATAACCTGTGCAAGTTATGCAGTGGTTCTAGACGCCAACCTTTTTATGTCTATGCTCATGTTTATGTTTCCTTGAACGACTGGATGGTCCCTGCTCACTGCCAGACGAACTGGAACATGCAAAATCACGTACTTAAAGCAGTCTTTATGCCAAGAATCCTTATTGCCTAATTTCTAAATAGATCCAGACAAATATGCGTTCACAATTCAAAAGTTAAAAATAGAACCAAAAATCGAAGTTCTGCAACGTATGCAAAACAACTAACATGTGAATATATGAATAATCAAGCATCTCTTTTTCACTTGTAAACCTTACTCCTTACTCCTTAAGCCTTGCTTTCAGCGTGAAAAGAGTCGCACTTCACAGCTTAAGTACTTTTTCTTTTTTCTGTGGGTGGGCTAAGCATTTACCAGAAATCAGTGATGCATATATCAAAAAGATATTTTGTTTCCAACAATATCAATATAGATAATGATACTCATACTAATAATGTACTTGATTAAAAAGAATAACAATTAGACCAACTTCTAACAAACTTGGTGTAGTTTCACAAAGCTCTGGCTTTCTTCATGCTTTTTAGGATAGTCTTGAAAGCTACATAGTCCATAACTGCCACTTTCAGGTTCTTAGCAAGCTGCCTCCCTAGTTGATATAATTTAACAAGTATGCTGGACTAGCCATGTAACAATACTATAATCTATACATAACAACAAAATTTTGAAAAACAATCTTACATCCTAAAATAGTGGACAAAGGCAGAACAGAAAATCTTAAAAGCAAAAGACAGTTCCTTTTAAAAAATTAAGCATAAAAAATTGCAAGTACAACTTTGGAGGATGACCATGAGAAGGGATTGATATAGGTAGCCCTATCCCTAGGTTCCTTGGTCCTGAAAAGCTCCCATACACTACTGTACAGTTATTGATGCTAAACTTGATCGGAGAGCCAAATTCACATACACCTTTTAAAAATTAGTTGAGAAGAAAAGAATGTGGCGACTGGAAAATGTAAAGAATTTCTGCAAGCCAAAGAATTTACTCTCAGACATCAATCTATCAATAAAGAATATGCACACATGTCAACTTCAGGTCACTTAACATGACTATTTATATTCATTATTCATGACATTCTACTTTCTTGGGGCAATGCCTCCATCCCTCTTTCTCATGAAAGTCATTTCAAGTTAAACAAACCTCCCAACACCAAGAAATAAAAGGAAGGAGAGGGATCATCTACTAGTATCACTTCAGGCTTCAATGGGAAGTGGGAACCCACTCCATTCACACTCTCATCTACTTGGATGAGGAATAACCTACCGAAGTTGAGGCCCACCTGTTGCATCTTAATGAAAAAGAGATTTTATATTGTAAGATATGAATTTCACATGTATCGTCGTATGAAGATAATCAATTATTTGCTCGACTGCAATGTCCTCTTCTATTATCAGATTTCTAGAAAATTAATTCACATTATTGGCTTTGCTACAACAACAATCAGCATCACAAAAGTTCATAAATTCAAATAATTACTCAAGTCACTACACGATAAAACCTGATTTGGGCATATAGATCCATGTAAAGCAAGATATACCCTATTTGACGAAGGCAAAGATCGATATCCAAAAAATCAGGCTTGTAATCCTTTTTAGACGTACATGAAATTAACCAACAACCGTATTGAAAAATAGTAGAGAACAAGATAATTTGCCCTAATTCGATTCACGATACCGATAACAACAATGGTAATTAGAAATACCTGTATTCCTCAGATGAAGAAGAAGAAGAAGACAAAGAGTGACTACGTCTACGACGACGTTTGGTATGAGGGCGGCTTTTCTTGCTGATCTTAAGAGAGTCCTTTTTGTGTTTGTCAATGTTCTTATCCTTACGGCGGCGGGAACGACGGTCTCGATCGGAGGAAGATGATAGATCGGAGGATGAGGGAGTGGTTGTGGTTGAGGTTGAGGCAGCCATGGATGAGGAGGAAGGGCGGTGCGGTTAGGAGAAAGCGTACGATTCAAGAACAGATCAACCCTCGTCTTGAATTGCAGGATCTTTGTATAAAAAAGATCCAAAAAGATATTTTTAAAATATATTTGAAGTAAAATGTATTTCAATACATTCTTTTTACATTTAAAATTTAACGGTTCGGATCGGTTCTTACAACCGGTTATAAAAAAATAGTCTTGAATGAGTCTTGAAACTAGTTACATCAGGACCGATTACATCGAGATCGATTTTGAGAAAATGTTTGAGATCGGGATCAATTTGAAATTGTGAATTCGTACTCATGGACCGGACCGGAGGAAGGAGAAGATGCATTTACTTTTTTTATTTCACATGCCAAAGCCAAAAGCCCAAAGCCCAAATTCATAAAAAACATATATATATATATATATATATATATATATATAACGGGTACGGTACGGGACGGGACGGGGAGTGCTATACCCGTCCCCGTCCCCGGCTTGCGCCAAGCGGGGATCCCCGTCCCCGTCCCCGGGACCCGATTTTTCGAGGAATCCCCGTCCCCGACCGGGGCAGGTGGACCGGGTTATCCGACGGGTCAGGGTCCATTCTCATCCCTAAATTTGACGTGATCCAAGACTAAGTTTTGACTATCTCTAATTACATGTGATTTTTATTTGTGGAGAGAGTCAATGTAATTCTGATAGATGTCAGTGTTAAGACTTGGGATGATAATTTATATTTAATTAAGGACCGGGCGCCTCATCCAACACCGTAAATCACGATTTGGAGAATACTAGCATCGGATGAAAACACGTCATTAAGTCAACACTTTCATTGTATGTGTATATATATAGAGGAGCGTTCAAATAAAAACTTGCCCCATTTGTGTAAACCGTGTAAACCAATCTCATCTGTCTATTTTCTTGATCAATGGCTAAAATTAGTTTACTTTATTATAAGAAATTAAAAAATAAAAAATATTAAAAAATTATTTTATTTCAATGATAAGGGTAAATTGGTATACAAAAGTTAACATCAATATAACTTTAATTCCATAAACAAAAGTTAACATCAATATAACATTAATTCCATAAACAAAAGTTAACATCAATATAACATTAATTCCATAAACAAAAGTTAACATTAATATAACATCAATGAACCATTTTATAATGAATTTTTTTCACATTAACATTAATTCCATAAAGAACAAAATATAATATGCACCCGTTTCATCATATATTTATTTCATAAAAGAACACAATACATTACGCACCCGTTTCATTTTCATCCTACCAACTAAACAAATTAACTTCAATCACAAAGCAACATGGATCATCATGAACCTAGATGTACATTCAATCACAAAGCAACAAGGATAACCATGAAACTTCAATCACAAAGCACCTATTTCATTAACACGTATAATATGCATAGACGRAGCAAATAAACCATTTTACAATGAAACMTTTTCACATTGAAACARTTTCATGACCATTGTTTTTTGAACTTTGTTTATGAAACTATTCATTACAATATTTTCATTAGGAAATAGAGAGATTATATTATTTCGATTTTTCAACTGTTTTGAAACGTTTGATGAAACCGTTGCATCGATAGTTTATTTTTCTTATTCCACTCATACGAACATGATTCATCATTATGAACCTTTTCATTATGAAACAGTTTCATGAAACCTTTTCATTAAAGTGGATAATATGTCTAGAGTATTAATTTGGAGCCTAGAGTATTAGATTATGAACATGCTTCATCATTATGAACCTTTTCATTATGAAACAGTTTCATGAAATTTGCCCCATATAAAACAGTTTCATGAACTTTAGGAATGAAGTTCGTCCCATATGAACGTCCCATATGAAACAGTTTCATTATGAATGCCTCATTCAAATCAAGTTTTTAATATTATAAAATATTAAAATTTTTAATATGTTATCATTCAAGAAATTTCCATTATTAAATTTCCTTATTTAATATTTATTAATAACTACCTTATTTATCATAAACATATAGAAAATGACCAAAATACCCTTATTGATTAAATTTAATTAAAAAAGAATTGAATTTTCCTATTGGTCGAATTTGGTTTACACGGTTTCTTAGAATTGCATGGTTTTCATTTGAACCTGCCCCTATATATATAGGGTTGGGTTCATGTGAGACCAAAGGTTTTTCGTGAGACCCATAAGACCAATTTATGTTCATTGATCAAATTTATAAACTAATGATCTAATGGTCTAAATTTGCAAGGTGACAATTTTGTAATTATTGAGAAGTCTCGTGGCGTTTATAAATGTTCAGATCTAACGGTTGTAAATCTAATCCAAGGGTTGAGAATTGGTCTTACGGGTCTCACGAAAAACCATTGGTCTCACATGATCCCAAGTATATATATATATATGTGTGTGTGTGTGTGTGTGATATAATAGATACTTAAACTACATTTGTTATTATAAGTATTACAATAATCACAACTCCTATTAAGAAAAAATGTATCATTTGCATTCGTTTTGCACAAAAATTTTACCAATTGGCTCCATCACGCTTTTATACATCCATCATCTTCTTCAAAACTATCATCTTTCTATTAATGTGAGATGATAAATGTCAACGTTATTTCAGATTTGAGGAACAATCAAACCTTATGTTGTCAAATCATCATCCTTGGTTTCACTTTTATATTTCCACTATAATTTTTACCATTTGGTTGGTTTTGATTCCAACCATGATTATAAATTTCAAAAAGGGTCATCCAAAATAAAACAATCCTATGATGCAAACCTCATGATTTAACACAAACATCCACCTTACTTATACACTTCCTTTTGTTCAAATCTTTCAACTCTTCATCAATATGAGACAACTAAAACTCAATCATAATTCATCATTTGAGAAACTCAATTCTCATGGTGTCACTTCAATACCTCAAGGTTTTTCATATATATATATATATATATATATATATATATATATATATATATATATATATTGCCACTTGGTTGGTTTTGATCACAATCATGGTTATACATTTCAAAGAGGGTCATCTAAAATAAGACAACCTTATGAGACAAACATCATGATTTGAAACAAAGGCATCCAATCCACATTTCTTATACACTTCATTTTGTTCAAATCTTTTAACTCTTCACCAATATGGGACTACTAAAACTCAACCACAATGCACCATTTGAAAATAATCAATTCTCATAGTGCTACCTCAATACCCCCAGGTTTTCCTTTTATATATATAATATAAAGATAAAAAATTTAATTGTATGTTTTGTACTATAATTTTATCAATTGGTTAGTTTTGATTTCAACTATGGTTATAAGTTTCAAAGCATCAATCACGCTTTAATACATCCGTCATCTTCTTCCAAATCTTTCCATCAATATGAGATGATGAAAATCAACTTTGATCAAGATTTGAGGAAGACTCAAACCTCATATTGCCAAATCATAATCCTTGGTTTCATTTATAGTTTTGTACTATGATTTTTACCATTTGATTGGTTTTGATTCCAACAGTGGTTATAGATTTCAAAGAGGGTCATCCAAAATAAGACAACCTTATGAGGAAAACTCCATGAATTGACACAAAGGCACCATCCATCTTTTTATACACTTTGTTCAAATCTTTTAACTCTTCATCAGTGTAGGACAACTAAAACTCAACCACAATTCACCATTTGAGAATACTCATTTCTCATGGTGCCATCTTAATATCCCATTTTACATTTATATAAAGATATAAAAATGATTGGTTTTGATTTCAACCATGGCTATAGATTTCAAAGCATCCATCATGATTTTATACATCTATCATCTTCTTCCAAATCTTTCCTCCAATGTGAGATGATGAAAATCAACTTTAATCAAGATTTGAGGAAGACTCAAACCTCATCTTGACAAGTCATCATCATTGGTTTCACTTTTAGTTTTATACTATCATTTTTATCATTTGGTTGATTTTGATTTCAACCATGGTTATAGATTTCAAAGAGGGTCATCAAAATAAGACAACCCTGTGAGGAAAACCTTATAAATTGACACAAATGCACCATCTATCTTTTTATACACTTTATTTTGTTCAAATCTTTTAACTCTTCATCAATGTGGACAACGAAATCTCAACCACAAATTCACCATATGAGAATACTCAATTCCCATGGTGCCATCTCAATATCCCAAGGTTTTACAAAAAAAAAAAAAACTTTTTGGGTGCATCTCGGTACATCTCATCCTAATATGCATCCAAAGGTGGAGATCTATTCTTATGCTTCTCACATTAACTCTCCTTCTTACTTGAACTCAAGCTTCTAATCTACCTCTCATCGAGTATCCCCCTCAAGATTAAAAAGTCTTGAGAACATTTATTTTTAAATGGGGGGAAGGGCTTGGCCTGGGAAGGGGAGAGTGGTCAAAAGCGACAAATTGTAAATTTGTTAAAGTTTTTCTATATAGGCTCGAATCATGCCTCTCCTATATGTTTGTTGTAGATCTCAGAGAGGATAAAAGATATGCATTTGGTTCATTTTTATTTTGTTAGTTAATTTGTTTTTTTTTTCTAAAAGTGTTTGTAGTAGTTATGTTTTTATACTTTTAAAAATGGCTCTTTTATATTGAAGAATTTGGATCAACAATGCATGTTATAATGATTCTATGAAATTCGAAATTGTTGATCAGTCAAAGCCTTGACTAATTGATAGCCGCATGATCTCGTTGGATAGTTTCAAGATTTATGTTGGACATGGAAATACGATTTATGAATTACAAACCGTAATAATTTATATTACACCACATTATTTAAGATTTGTAGTTTTATATTTCAAAATTTACACCTATCTTTAATTTTGATGATTTATTTTTTCAATTGTCATGTAATTAAAAATATGCATGTATTGATGCAAATAAAATTATATAGTTTTATATATTTGTGACTTCAAATTTTCTTTATAGAATAATGAAAATGGAGTTAAAAAGGTAGGAAAATGAAATAGGTTAACAATTAATGTGTTGATTATATATTAAAAATAAATCAAAAATAA